TCTAAAAGTCATATCCTTGGCGGAACTTATATACGTTGAATATTCTAAAGAAAGGATTGAAGATACCAAATATGACTTATATTTTATAAAGTTTATGATTGTTTTTCTTGATACCACTTTATTTAAAATATAAGTCATATCCGGTATTAAAAGTCATATCTGCGGATATGAGTCATATCCGGTATTAAGTCATACCTGGTTATATGTTGCTTTTTTTGTGTGTTTTTTCTAATACATCGTATTATATTATTAATATATCGTTCTTTTTATCACAAAATAAACAGCAGTGATTTTTTTTGCTGTATTTTACAGCCGAATAAAGGCTGTTTCCCCTAGCCCAGAATAGGTATATTTTCCCCTAAAAATGCTAATATTTTCCCTAAAATGCCTCGTGCTCTTCCTTACCAGAACCATGACTTAACAGCATCCAGACTTCCCGAAATACGTCGGTCCGACGGACATGTCCGATAAATTTTGATCAGGTCCGACGTTTTTGTATTCCGGATCGGTCCGAATGTCCGACTTTTATCCAAGCCCCATGTATACAAAATGGCGTCGCTAAAGCTGCCAAACCTGGGAAAAACGAAAATCTACGTCAGAGGAGCGCGCAGAACAGCAATAAAAGGATGAAAAGAATAGACCTGAGACAAAATTTAATGAAAAATGGAAGCACGATCATGAATCGTTGGTGTATAACAGGGAGGAGATGAAAATGCACTGTACGGAATGTGCCGAATTTTACGGCGAAAAAATTAAAAACAAAAAGTGTCTTAGAAATACAAACACAAGTTTTTCTTTGATTTTGATCAATTTTATTTGGTCTGACAGATTTCGTTTCGGTCCGACAGATTTTCATGGTTTGTCAGACCGAATGTCTGACAGTTTTTTTTAACTTTCGGGAAGTCTGAGCATCTGACTTATATTTGCTAAAAGACGGAAAGCTATCTCTAGATAGATAGCCTCTGCTATGTACCATGCATGTTAAATTGAATTGATATAAAAAAAATTTCATAAAACTGAAAAATGTGTGGGTGTGTGGTAGTCCAACTAATTAGACTTGTCAAAGAGACACCGAGATAATTTTGGACGGGCGCTGTCTTTTTCCAAGTCCAACCACGAACTGCATTTTTATGCACGGACGCTTCCCAATTAGAAGTTGTTGGGAGCGAAAACTAAAAAAGTTACAAATAAACGGTCTACATTACCTGAAAGAGAACCGTTTTTTATGCAAGGTTTCAAGTTATCATACTTTAAAGTCGAACACAAGTCTAAATATTCCACTTTAACTTTTTAAATCGTTGAAAATTATTGTAAGCGGCCATATTGGAAAATGACGCAAGCGGTGACAGGGTAAAACAGGGTAAAGTTGTAAAATTTCCATGGTGTAACACAGGTATCGGCGGCAATCGATTGAATTTGTCAAGCTTTATAATATAATTTGTTTAAGTTATTTATTATGAATTATGCAGGAATAACTTTTTTTCACAAAAAAATATTTCAGCATTAAAAATAAAATGTGAAAAGGATATTCTGATAACCTTACTTAGATGTCCGACGTCAGATCATACTGCATTTTAAAAGTCCATTTAAATTGTCAAATTAGAAATTGTAATGTCGGATTTTTTAACATCTGTGATCATAAGGTGAAATTTCTGAACTGCCTTTTTATTTTATAACCCTGTCATGATTTCGCACATATGAAAATACAATGTAATTGTAAGTACATCTTAATGAATTATAAGTATACTATACATAATGAAGCAAAGAAGAATTTCAATTTATATTAAACTCCCTATCAATTTCTAGTTTATTATCTTTAAAAAAATTGAGGACAGTTGTGTAGGGGAAGAAGTTCAAAACAACCAAAAATAACTTTAAATTCTGAGAAAACTATCTTAAAATTTCAAACTATAAAATGGAATTTCAGACAGTCCTCAGTAAAATGCAATTGTCGAACAGATATGACGGGGTTTATGATAAAAACGCAGCAAGCGGAAATTTAGTGACCCTTATTTAAGACGTAGAATAGCATAACAATGTAAGACAGATGGGAGAAATAGTCTGATTAGATTACTGTAGTCGTCTGTTAGAACGACTGTCGCAAAATGACACCAAAACCTATATCCATTTAAATTCCATGTTATCTAGTTCCCGCTTTTCATTGAACGGCACCTCAAATGTGTTGCATTAAAAGTTCCATGATTACCGCCGTATTTTGTACACATCTGTGGGTGTTGATTAAAATTTCTACATTATTATGTTTAAGTGATGAATTCTGTTGAAACCGGCGGATGGAGCACATGTACCTACCAGAGCCGTCTTTGGCACCCATGTGTATTTATGTTTCGGTTTTGCAGTTTCAGGCGTTTTTTTGGTGTTTTTTTTTGGAGGGCGGATATGTGGATAAATATAAAGAAATACAGTACAGCTCAAGCAATTTTTCCTCTTTCCACTCAGTCACCGCGGACACTTTTAATGGCAAACAGAAAATCGCGGGGGGCATACTATAGTATGCCACGGTGACAAATCACCACTGACGGGTAGTAAAAAAACCCTGCAATCTGCGGTGGAAAATCACAGAGATTTGCAGTGATCAATTTGCATATACACGTAAATGTTCATCTAAATGTACAACGTAGTCTTCTTTTAAAAAATCAAAAAGACTTACATTGTGACTGATGATTTTAATCATTCAATAAAATTATTTAATTAGCTCGGCGATATTAATGTACATTTACCGGGGAAAATCACATCACAAAACAGTTCAATGAAAAAAGTTTCAAGAAAACGGAATAACAAATAATTAATGAAATCGGTCAACACTTTCAAGAAAACTAAATGCTGTGACATTTCTGTGTAAAAAGTTGAAAGGATAGCTAGAACATTTAAAATTTTTTTTTTTTAGAAATTCTATTCATACTGGAAACAATAAACGCCACTTATTATATAATATACATGTACATTTAATAGCGGCCAATCTTAAGAAGGTGTTAAATCCAATCAAGGAATTAATTTATTTATTCTTTGCTCAAGTCCAATTAATTAAGCAATTTTTACCTACAAAAATTAAGCAATTAGCACATACACCTAATAGTGCAGCCGTGGACTAGTTCATGTACATAATTATATATAATAGTTTAACAAACCTTTCCTTAACATATGTTTTTACGTAAACTTTGCAAGATGTCATCAAAAGCCACATTTTTTTGTCGTATGGGAAAATGCAATTAAGAAGGCGAGAATTACTTCTCCATAATGGTGAGGTGTGTGTCGTAGAAATAAATTAGAATCTATCTCATTACTAATAAATATTATACAAATACAGTAGTCCACGGTATGCCCTATCTAAAAAGTTAGATCTGTGATCATGATGAAATAAACATATTTGTTACATCTTTTTTTCAGATCATAACCGTAAATGCGACATTAAATATTTAAAATAGAGAAATGTTTAGTTCAAAAGTAAATTTGTGTGTATTATATGCTATGACCCACTTAATCTTTAGTTCACATCAATATTTGGAGGAAAGGAAATTAACACACGTAAATTTAACAGAAAAAATCGTTTAAATGGATCAAAGAAATACATGTAATTGAAAATTCTATGATTGTAGCACTGTAAAATTAGAAAGATTAAAATGGCTTAAAGCAGTTGAAATTAATTATGTTAAAAGTTACTACATATTAGGGTTTTAATTTCACACGCAAATCATTAAATTTTGTAATTATTTGCATACGACAGATGTAACGTCGTTTAAATACATAACATAAAGATTTTCTTCTATAAAAAATGTGTTTGAGTTCATTATATTTTACAGACATACAGTAATAGTAATAAATGTCCCCGTGTTATAAATAAACTAATGGTCACCCGAGAGAGCGAAATACCGCTGCAATATTTCACAGTGATCCACGGTGACAATATCCCGCAGCGCAAACTTCCCCCGATCGAGTGGACAAGCGGAAAGTCACAACTATCGCAGGGACATCGCGGTGACAGTCCACCCATAAACAAATCGCTGGGATCGGCGGACTTTGGAAAAAATGCTTGAGCTGTACTGTAATGGTAACATACAATGAAATCAAAATCAAAGAAAATAAATAAATGAATGATTAATAGGACCATTAAGTAAACTGGCACAGTGGTAGGGGATAAGAAATTTGGGGAAGGGGGAGGGGGCGGAATAAAGAAATAAAACTAGGGGCAAAGGGAAAATACTTACCATAGACGAGAAAACAACAAGGGACACAAACAAAAGTGTCACCAAAACAGTATGAAACAACAAGACATACACCTTATACATGTATAAGTCTCTTAATCTGCTCATTTGAAAATTCTTATCTTCTCAATGACTTTTTTTTAATATGCTCTACTTAAAATTTATTTCAATTAAAATATGTGACCCTTCCCTTATAGTTACACAGCATATGGCTGGATCACAGTAAAGTTCCTATTTTAGTAAATTAATAAAGTATGTCAAGAAGACATTTAACTTTATCAGTAGGTTTAATATGGTATTATAATATATATCAGCAATAGGTGAAAAAGAATTCCTTTATTTCTTTTACATTCTTAATTGTCATTTAAATATGCATGTATAAATGAAGTCAGTATTTTATCGGCAGTCATTAGCAGTAAACAAGAAGGCAAACCATCTATTGATAAATGTTGAGTACATGTATTAAAACATTTAAAAAATATTAAACAACAGTACTTGCACGGAGCCTATTTGCTACCATTGTATTTTAGGTTTAACACATTGATACTTTTCAATAGTATTTAATAATGCACAAATTTATTCAAAAATAATGAATAGATTTATTTCCCCGATATTTTTTTGAAGTTTAATCTTCATGCGTAACCCACACTTACCTGCTAGACACACTGGTTGCTACTACCAGCTTTCACGGAATCGATTTTTTACGATGACGTCATAACATGTCCGCCGGAGATAGTGTATACAGTACAAATTTGAAATAAATCGCATGTATGCGTTAAAACTAGCAACCCCAACTGATAAGCCTACAGCTTAAGAAATTAGCGTAAAAATCGATAGTGTGTTCATAAAATTGATTGTAAAACAATAAATTTTAATATTGACCATTATAAAAGTTATATGAAATAAATCAGTGATAAATTGTCTTCAAAATGATATAAAATTCATTATTCATGCATAATATGCATTTTAATCATTATCAGTTAATCTTAATATACAGGTGTATTTTCGGCCGATTTCACAAAACCCGATTGTGGACACGCGCTTGTCACATGTATGCCGCATGACCTTATTTGCGGGTCATTTGTTGCTTATTAATATTCATGATTTTTTGCAACCAATCAGAAATATGTTTACATTTCACCGCGGAATTTTCGTCATTTAAATATGTTTACAAACAAAAAAGTTATGACGCCCGATACTCGCCGACGATTTGCTTGAAAACTATCGGTAAGTGAAGAAAAACGAATAGTGTTCTAGAAAATAAATTGAATTATCTTTAAAATGATTCATAAATCATAAAATTATGTTGCCATTAAAGCACCCGCATCTACGATTAAATACAGCGAGTTGTGGAAATTCAACAGTCCATCAGAGTCCGCCATTTTGAATTCACCGACGCGGTGAAATCCGATTATTTCCATTACTGATTTATCACGTATAAACGAGTAACAAAATAAAATTATGGTAGATAAAGTCTTGGTTTATAATAAAATATATCAATATATAATTATTTTTTTAAATATTAGCGCATTTGTCTTTAAAATTGAGATATATGTTTCGGCGGGCACCTGCTCAGTTTCGGCCAATTTTCAAATTCTAAATTTTTTTGTTTTTTTTTTACCGATGCTTCAGGTTTCAATGAGATATCGTATATTTAACAAGGAAATCATTTTTTATTAAATATTAAATTATTTTTTTACGGTTTTATAATTAATTAAAGCAGAAATTTATTTCTAATGAGCAATTTACATGGTGAATGCAGGGTCGACCTGCTGCCAGTGACAGTTTTACCTGAAAAAAATCTGTTAACCTCTACGCATATATATATAGGATAAATAATATTTTTAAACAATGTATATAAACTTATTTTGCCAGCATTTCTTTTTAATTCATGTATGATTTATTATAATTACTAACTTTATACTTTATTTTTTTCCAGGTGCATGACCGACCTGACAAAAAAAAATATCATGAAATAATATTGATGATGACAATATTTGACAACACTTGGATCATTTGGACAAATATAAGATGACAAACCAATGCTGTTAATGAATAAATCTTGTCATATAGTAGTATACATTACCAAACACAACAAGAACTGTCCCAAAATTATTAATGGGGATGCTGAGATGTCTGCTTTATATTCATTGAAATCCCAAATCAGCTATGTTAAGAAATGGAGTCGACTAATTTCAAAGATAATGGTTAAAGATGAAACTCCTTTAAAAAACATCTGGAAAAGGGGAGAAGCAGATCCTTCAATAGCATTTAAAAAGTATATGATACCAACTGGCATTTATCTGCAAAATATATGATAACAGTATACATTACCAATCATTGCAAGAACTGCCCCAAAATTGTAATGTGGAAGTATGTTTAATTGCCGAGATGTATGCTTATTCATTGAAATCCGATGAAATGAAGTCAACTAATTTCAAAGAAAATGGTTAAAGATGAAGAAGACTCCTTTTAAAACAAATCTGGAAAATGGGAGAAGCAGATCCTTATAAATAACATTAATTAATTTAAACAATTATGTCCTACTGACTGGCATTTATCGGCAAAATAAATCATATTGATATTATAGAGCTCTTGACAAAGACAACTGATATCCAGGTGCATCAATTTATGTTAGCAATGAAAAACATTCTTAATTTTGATCTCAATTAATAGCAAATCAAATCAATTTCATTTCTTTTGGTCTAGTGAGGAATTTCGGGCTGTTTGACTTATGTTCAATTTAGAATATACTGCTATAATTCGAGACTGCGGGAGTTCTGGAAGAAGAGAGTTATTTACTAACTGCAAAAGAAGTGAATAATTATTTTTTGAGAAGAGAAAAAAAAAGATAAAAGCATGACATTGCAGATGCTGTAGAGCAATTTGATATTCATTCATGTTGGATTTCATTATACAGTGCTGCTGTAGTTTCTTGTTACTTTATATATGTCGATAAATGAAAAATGAATAAATTTTTTCAAAAAATTTATCGATACCTTGCCCACTGTATTAGACTAAGTAATTGCTCTTCTACATTTAATGGTCTGTAAAATAACACAGTTATATTCAGTAACACCTAATCTACCTATATTCCAAATTTCATCAAAATATCTCAAATAATAAAAAAGTTATGGTATTTTAAATGTGAAATTTGTCATAAACGAAGTCATTTCGGTTCCGTCAACGCGCAAGCATTTCTTATTGACTGTATATAGTAAAAATTCTTAAAAAATGCGCAAATTTCAACATTATTAAATGCCATAACTTTTTTATTTTTAAAGATATTTAGAAAAGGAAAACTGTTCTGAAATGCTTATAATGAGCACTATAAGATGAAATAAATTGTTTATAAATACAATAAAATAAAAAAATTGGTGTGGGGTTGCTATTAGAAAATAGACAATTAAAAAAACTCGAATTCTGTCCGGAAACTGGTTTCTACCCAGTACACACACATTTTAATAATCATACCCCATACAACAGGACTAGCTGTTGCAATTATTAATCAATATTATAAATTCATTTAAGGAAGAGCTTAATAAAAGTCTAATTAATGCCTCACGCGGAAATTCCCCAAAATCCAACTTTCGTTTTCAATTGATAAAACATTGGTAACACTAACAAAGTTTGCACTCTTACCCTATGCTACGACCGGATGTAAACAAAACGTAAGAACAGGGCATGCGCGGTGGTTAAATCCCACCCATTTATTCGATTAAATTCTAGAACAACCACTACTTTCGGTTTCAATTTTGCTAACAAGAAACAGTTTGACTCAACGTAAGCGTTAATTTTAATTGCAATGTCCAAAACTTTGCAATACACGGCGTAATTTTCATTACATATCCGGTATTATCACCGTCATAGTAGTTTTTGTTCCAGTCGGTCAAAATGACGGTACACATTTACATGTAAACAAACGGGTCCTACTAAACACTGCTAAGGACTGCTAAGGACCGCCAAGGACTGCTAAGGAGCCACAAAGGACTACTAAAGAGGCACAAAGGACCTTAAAATACCTCCTAAGCCATTCATATATTACATGGTATTATTTTTAGTGAAAAAAAATTTTAATTTTAAGAAAAAATATGATTTTGGTGAAAATTTTATGAGTTGTCGGACCGCTAAGGACTGCTCAGATACACAAAAGACTGCTAGGGAGGCACAAAGGACCTTAAAATACCTCCTAGGGCATTCTTATAATACAAGGTAGTATGTTTAGTGACAAAAAATGTATTATTTTAAGAAAAACTATCATTTTAGTGATAAAATTTATGTTTTTGAAGTTGTCGGACCGCTAAGGACTGCTCAGGTGCACTAACAACTGCTAGGGAGGCACAAAGGACCTTCAAATCCCTCCTAGAACATTCTTATAATATATGGTAGTAAGTTAATAGACAAAAATGTATTATTGTAAGAAAAAAATATAATTTTGGTGATAGAATTTATGCTTTCGATGAGTTGCAGGACCGCTAAGGACTGCTCAGGTGCGAAAAGGACTGCTAGGGACCTTAAAATGTTTCCTAAGGAGGCACAAAAGACCTTTAAAATACCTGTAAGGGCATTCTTATAATACATGGTAGTATGTTTAGTGATAAAAAATGTATAATTTTAAGGAAAAATATCATTTTAGTGATAAAATTCATGTTTTTGAAGAGTTGTCGGACCGCTAAGGACTGCTCAGGTGCACTAACAACTGCTAGGGAGGCACAAAGGACCTTCAAATCCCTCCTAGAACATTCTTATAATATATAGTAGTAAGTTAATAAACAAAAATGTATTATTGTAAGAAAAAAATATAATTTTCCCTTATTTTGGTGATAGAATTTATGCTTTTGATGAGTTGCAGGACCGCTAAGGACTGCTCAGGTGTGAAAAGGACTGCTAGGGACCTTAAAATATTTCCTAAGGAGGCACAAAGGACCTTAAAATACCTGTAAGGGCATTCTTATAATACATGGTAGTATGTTTAGTGATAAAAAATGTATAATTTTAAGGAAAAATATCATTCTAGCATAACATTATATATCTATAACATTATCATCATAACAATAATAAGGGAAATATATTTGAAGTTTGAAGGTGATCCCTTAAAAAATTAAGAACTAAATAATAAGTTCCAGGGGTGATTATTCTGTAAACATGGCTTCAAAAGTTATGACCCTTGTCACATAAGATGTAGTTGTTGGTTATAAACATATACTTGAAGTTTGAAGTTGTACTTTAAAAATGAAAAAGTTATAGTAAAAGAACAGGTAAAATAGGGAACAATCCATATACAAACAAATCCAGTCAATTTTCCCCACAAATCAAAACATGAAATTACAAGTCAAATCAAAACATCTATATACAAGTTCCAAACACATAAAAACATCTATATACAAACATATACCTTGACAAAATTAATGAAAGCTAATATATAGATGAATACACACAAATCAAATAATATTGCAAGTCTTAAAGACATATCAAAACATCTGTATTGATATACAGACACATATCATGACAGAATAAAAGAAAAAAAGTTTTTATACGAATGTACAAGCACATATCAAATAGTGGATATAAAAAAAATCATATTTTGGTGAATCACATACCATCTTTCTTATATGCCTAAATCATTGATCTAGGCTAGCATGCATATCTGTGCAGTCTGACAGATCAAATCTTTCAAAAGCTACAATTATTCATTGTTATACAAGCACATTTCATTGTATCAAATTTTAAACACATAGCAAAACATCTATATATAAACATATATTATTACAAAATAAATGCAAGTACACATATTTATGTTTAAGCACATATCAATTATGAAGCCGGTCTCTAACACACATCATAACATCTATATACAAAGACATACCCTGACAAAAATGCAAGTACACATTTATGTTAAAGCACATATCAATTATGAAGTCGGTCTTAAACACACATCATAACATCTATATACAAAACATACCCTGACAAAACAAATGCAAGTATACATTATTTATGTTTAAGCACATATCAATTATGAAGCCGGTCTTAAACACACATCATAACTACTATATACAAAGACATATCCTGACAAAACAAATGCAAGCATATATATTTATGTTTAAGCACATATCAATTATCAAGCTGGTCTTAAACACACATCATAACATCTATATACAAAGACATACCCTGACAAAACAAATGCAAGCATATATATTTATGTTTAAGCACATATCAATTATGAAGCTGGTCTTAAACACACATCATAACATCTATATACAAAGACATACCCTGACAAAACAAATGCAAGCATATATACTTATGTTTAAGCACTTATTTAATTATCAAGCTGGTCTTAAACACACATCATAACATCTATATACAAAGACATACCCTGACAAAACAAATGCAAGTATATATACTTATGTTTAAGCACATATCAAGTATCAAGCTGGTCTTAAACACACATCATAACATCTATATACAAAGACATACCCTGACAAAACAAATGCAAGCATATATATTTATGTTTAAGCACATATCAATTATCAAGCCGGTCTCTAACACACATCATAACATCTACATACAAAGACATACCCTGACAAAAATGCAAGTACACATATTTATGTTAAAGCACATATCAATTATGAAGCTGGTCTTAAACACACATCATAACTACTATATACAAAGACATACCCTGACAAAAAAGCAAGTATACATATTTATGTTTAAGCATATATCAATTATCAAGCCGGTCTCTAACACACATCATAACATCTATATACAAAGACATACCCTGACAAAAATGCAAATACACATATTTATGTTTAAGCACATATCAGTTATCAAGCCGGTCTTAAACACACATCATAACATCTATATACAAAGACAGTACCCTGACAAAAATGCAAGTATACATATTTATATACAAGCACATATCAATAATAAAGCCAGTCTTAAACACATATCAAAACATCTATATACATGAACACAGATCCTGACTTTACATATAAATGTACAAGCACATATAAAAAGAATATATATACAAACACATATCATTATGAATCAATCGCATTTAATCATATACATGTATGTTGAAAATGTGTATATTGGCTGAACAAATTGTCCCTTCTGCACAGTAAATGGACTATCTATGTCAAATAATAAAGTTATTAAAATATCACAGAAAGGATAACTACAGTCTAACTTGCCCATGCGACCACGTGTATTAAGCGACTTTTGTCTTAAACGACCACTTTAAATTTCCCCCGATCATTTTCTCTCTATATCTTTAATGTATTAAGCGACTTTTGCTCAACGCGACCAGCGACCGCTAATTAGACACCTAATTGAGATAAAGCTTTTCATTAAACGACCACTTTTACCTGTCAAGTAATTGTGTTTTTAGAGAACGCCGCCGTGTAATGTGACAAGTGTCAACAATCAAAACACAACAAATAAACGTGTGAAAATCTCTATTTCCCAAACCGGTTTAGCGTATGCAAATGAAGGTAAGTATACGCGTGACGTTTATTATCCAATAATATCGGATAAACAATGCAACGCTCCGCCCCTACTGAGATGGTGTATACGCTTGGCTTGTTGACATTTAGACTGCATTGAATTGACCTTGAACTTGATCAGCAGTTAAATTTATCGTAACAATTAGATGTAGTTTGTTTATTTCAAATGAAAAAATGCACAACAGAAAACATCTTCACTATTAGGGTTTTCGTGTTGGAGACAAGGAAAAACAACGGAGAAGTTAATAAATTCTGGAAAAAATGTCAAACATGTACGTAATGGATCAACACTGTTTTGCACCCCGTTTTGTCAATAAATATCAGAAAGTTATTTTTTACATTTGCATCCATTTAGATTATCGGAGCGTACTAATTATTCAACATATATATAAAAATGAAGCTTAAAAGCATTCCTACCGCATAAGAAAGATGTCATTTATAAATTTTGACTTTTATATCATGCTGACTGTCTTAAGAGACCGTTTTATTAAGCGACCGTTTTGGGTGTTTCCCTTGCGCGGTCGCTTAATACACGTTTGACTGTATTTGGATGAATATTCTGCAAATTGTCAATCTTAAAACAAGATACAAACACCAAATCATTCTAAAATCAAATATGCAAACACATTTCTTAAAAAAAACATCAAAAATTCTATGACTTTCTAATCATTTTATGTTAGAAAACCCAGAAATTACACGCCGCAGGGAGGCGTTTGTTACATTTTGGGGGAAATGTTACACTAGATGTTCAAATCTCATAGTCCCTGGGATTTTGGTTTTAATATAATTATAATAGCTTTATTTGCTTTAAATAGTACATAATGTTCAATTAATGTAAACAAATAGAACAAATTTCAGCAAAAATACATAGAATCA